GGGGGGGGGTACCGGTGCGCTTTGCCGCTGGCCGCGCTCGGCCGCTGCCCCCCCGAAATGGGGTGTAACGGGTGGGGGTGCGACCCCCGGTGCCTCCCGGGGCAGCGGCGGCTGCGGGGAGCGAGACGGGGCCGGTGCGGGGCTCCCGTCCCGGTGCGGCTCCGCGGTGCGCGGGGGCTCCCGGTTCTGCCTCGGTGCGGAGCGGATCCGAGCCCCGGGACGCCGAGGGGCTCGGAGCGGGAGCGCGGGGACGGGGCCGCCGGTGCCACGGGGCTTTGGCGTGCCCGGCACCGCCGGGACGGGCGGGACCGCGGCCCCGGAGCGCGGCGGGAGCGGCGGGACCCGCCGGAGCGCGGCCGGGAGGCTCCGGGGGCGAAACCCGCGGGGACACCGGCTCCGGGGGCGCCTCGTTCCGGGGGTGCTCGGGGGGGGGGCCGCCATCCCGTTTTTTGGAGGAGGGGGGAGGAACAGCGGCCGCTTCCCGGAGAGGGCACAGCTCGGGGGCTGCGGCTCGGGGGTCCCGCAGGGGTCCGTGCCCCCCTCCTCGCTGTCCCGGGACGCCCCCGGTGTCCCCCCCGGCGCGGTTGGCGGGCCGCCCCCGCCGGGCGTTGCTGCTGCCCCCCCGCCCCCGCCGCCGTTGCCCTTTTCTCCCGCTTTTCGGGGCGGTTTTGGCGGCCGGTTGCGTCTGGGCCGGCGGCCAGCGGCGCTTCTCGCAGCTTCGGCGCCCGCCCCGCACACGCGTGTGCACGCGCCAGGGACACGCCAGCGCACACGCGTGTGCCCCTGCCCGCACACGCCGTGCCCGGTGCCCCCGGTGCTCCCGGTGCCCCCGGTGCCCGGTGCTCCCGGTGCCCCGCGCTCCCCTCGGGCCGCCCTGCCCGCTCCGCGGCCGCTTTGGGCCGGTGCCACCGGCGGATTTCGGGCCAGGGCTTGCACCGGGAGCGGCCTGCGGGACGGGCGGCGGTGCTTGTCCTCCCGCTGTCCCCTGATGTCCCCTGGTGTCCCCTGGTGTCCCCTGGCAGCGGCTCCGGCCTCCTTGGGGACGCCTCGGGCTCCGGCTGTCGGTGCCCTGCGTCCCGCCCGTGTCACTCCGTGTCCCCTCCGTGGTCCCCCCGTGTCCCTCCGCATCGCCGCCGTGTCCCTGGGGTCCCCTTGTGTCCCCTTGTGTCCCCTCCCCGCCGCACGGAGCCACCCCCTGCCCGTCCCCGTCGCTGTCACCACCCCCGGCGCTGTCACCGCCGCGCCGAGGGGACACCCAGCCCCGTGCCAGTGTCCCTTGTCCAGGTGTGACAGCGCACGCGCGGCGGTGACACTCGTGACAGGTGTGACACGCGTGTGTCACGGGGCACAGGTGTGACAATCGAGCGACGGGGCTCGAGCGTGACACGCGCGTGTGACGGGACACGGCTGTGACACGCGCGTGTGACGGGGCGCAGGTGTGACGGGGCACAGGTGTGACGAGGACACAGGCAGCACACGCGTGTGACACGCGTGTGACACGGGCGCGTGCCAGGCCCGGTGCCCCCCGTGCCGTGGCTGATGCAATCGGGGCGGGGGGAGGCACCAAAACCCCCGCCCCACACCCGGGGGGGACACGGGGGGGAGACACACCGGGGGGACACACTGCCGGCGGCTCTTTGTGCGTGTGCTGGGGTTTTGGGGGGCACGGGGGCGCGGAGCTCCGGAACCTGAGGAGGCCTGGGCGCCGCCCTGGGGTCACTGCGGTGTCCTGAGGGGTCCCACGTGTCCTGAGGGGTCACTCCGGTGTCCCAAAGGGTCACTCTGATGTCCCAAGGGGTCACTCAGGTCTCCAGAGGGGTCCCAGGTGTCTGGGAGGGGTCACTCTGATGTCCAGAGGGGTCCCACGTGTCCCAAGGGGTCCCAGGTGTCCTGAGGGGTCACTCAGGTGTCCTGAGGGGTCTCAGGTGTCCAGAGGGGTCACTCAGTTGTCCAGAGGGGTCATTCTGATGTCCTGAGGGGTCACTCAGATGTCCCAAAGGGTCACTCAGGTGTCCAGAGGGGTCACTCCGGTGTCCCGAGGGGTCCCAGGTGTCCCGAAGCCCCCCTGCCCCGAGCGGACGCTGCCGGGCCTCGCCCTGGGGTCCCGTGCGGGATCCCTGCCCAGGGGGGGCCACCACCGTCCCCACCCCCCCAGGAAAACCCCCCTGCTGCGGTTTTGGGCTGAAAACCGCCAGCTTTGGGGCCGGCCGGGAGCCGCTGCCCAGGCCCGCCGCCGAAACGCCCAAATTTTGGTTTCTTTCCTTTGCGTAGAGGGATTTAATTACCGGGGGGGGGTGTGGAGGGGGGAAGCGTTGGCTCCGAGAGCCGCGTCCGGGATTTTGGGGGCAGAAACGTCGGGTTTGGGCCATTCCGCGCTGGGGCCGCCGCGGGGCTGGGGCAGGGGGCCAAAGCCGGGCCCTTCCCGGGGGAAGGGGGGAGCGGGACCCCCGGGAACCCCCCCGGGCCCGGGGGCGTCCTCGCCCGACCCTTTTTGCACGAGGGGATTTTTGCACGAGGGCTTTGCACGAGCACGAGGGGCCGCAACAGGAGCCCCCCCCGCCCCCTCCGCGGGGGTTTTTTGGGGCCAATCCGCGGGCTTTCGGCGAAGCCCCCCCCCCGGGGGTCTCACCCTCCCCCACACCGGGGTCCCCTCCCCTCC